TTGCGTAGATGCATGCGTAGATAATACATTTTTTGTAATATTTTCTGCCTCCGTCCTACTTTCAAATTATTATTATTATTATTATTATTATTATTATTATTATTATTATGACAAAGGGACCTCATGTATATCTCGATATACACTCGATCCCTTGACATAATCTACACATATACAGTGCTACACAAGAGAGAGTTTGGAAGCTTTGTTACAACTCTGAGTTTCACGTATTACTACGATCATCAGGCAAATATACAGTGCTATACATTTCTAGTAAAGAAAGGGAGCAAGGAACTACAAGTTACGCTATAATGTCCACAGACACCACAAGTTACTTGACAATCAGCTCATGTGATCACATTGCGCAAAACTGACCGACAGTACTGACGTTCTACAACTACCTGGCTATCAGCTCTAGCACGTCTCGGGTACGAACTCCAACAGCCTTCCAACTTGGAAGGTTCTAAGTACGTTACATGAAAACATAGGAGGAGAAGGAGGGCTGTTGGAGTGCGCACCCATCATTGGCTCTCCATCCGAGTCTATACATTTCTGATGAACATTTTTTTTCCATCTCTTGCATACATGTATGATTCTGCAAGTGGAAGTAAGTTACATGTAGTTGTTGTTGTTGTTGTTGTTGTTGTGTTTATTTTAATTCGCGATTCAAACGAGCAAGTATGCCCAATTACAGGAATGCGAAAAGTAAGTTAAGTTATTATTATTATTATTATTATTATTATTATTATTATTAATTCAACATCTCCTGGCTCGTCAGAAGACTGCCAATATATATGAGAAGTCGGGTGGTAGCCAACCACGGCGAACTGAATAATAAGGAGAGAAACAAAGAGAGTGCTGCAAGGGGAGGCATGACGAAAATGGTGAGATTATTTAGGACGAAGAAGCTGAAGCTTGAACTCCTTAATGTCTGTGCATGCTTTAAGGCTAGTTGGCAGGGAAGACCAGAGAGTGTACGCAGAGAAGATAGGAGATTTCAGAAACAGGGAGGTATTAGCACGGGGTAATGAGAAGGAATGACGTGTTGATCTGGTGGACACAAACCAGTTATACTTAGCAAAGTGTTTTGGAGCCAGGTCTAATAAGATCATGTGTACAAGGATGCAAAGATGTTGCTGGTGTCGCTCTAAGAGGGGAGATACTGAAGCTAAACTGTAGAGACGTTGGGAGGAGAATGTTTGATTTTTGCGAAACAGGATTTTTAGAAGCAGACGCTGGTGTATTTCCAGAGTTTGAACAAGGGCCTGAGACAGACCGCACCACGCTGTGTCACAGTAATCAAATATAGGTAGAATATACGACGTAAAGAACAATTTTCGGCAATGGTCATTTAAATGGTGGCAGTGAGGTTGCAACATGCCAAGGGAGGAGCTAGCTCGCTTGCATACTGACTGGACCTGTGGGGACCAGGACATATGGCTGTCGAATATAACACCAAGGTGTTTGTGTTCATGAACAATTTTAACGTTAGCATTGGCTCCTGGAAAGTGCAACGGCTGAGTAGGCGGCGATGGGCTGATGAACATTGCTTCGGTCTTCGCGATGTTGGGCCTCAGCTTCCAAGCTTCCATCCATGCTATGGTGGAGTTAATGCCGGTCTGCATGGAGGTAACGAGGTTGGACGGCGAGCTGTCAGAGCACAACAGTGCAGTATCATCAGCAAAAAGGCTGACGTCTGGAACTAGAGAGGGCAGATCGTTCACATAAGTAAGTAATACACATTAGTTAGGAAAAGGAGTGGACCCAGTATGGACCCCTGTGGAACAAGTTACTAGTTGAACTGACGCGAAACATTAAACAAAATGGTGGCCTAATATCAAGAGTCCATAACCCAAGAGTATGCAACTGTGATTATGCCTGCATGCGTGGCGCGCTGCCTTCATTACGTAACTTGCCTTCATCACGCTCTGAAAGTATGCATTCAAACTCTCAATTTCTCGCACGAGCCCATCCGTTTTTGTTCGATTCGTTCCAGTACCTACACGATCTCTGAATTCTGGCGCGTGAACTCCAGTTCCGTACGAAAGTTCATTTCAAACTGGAGG